CTGCAGTTGATGCAGGAGGGAGTAAGAATTCTGGCTTGGATGAAGGTGTTATCCCGAATCCCGAACCTCAGTCCCAACCTCAAGTTGTGCTGGATCCTGCAGTTGATGCAGGAGGGAGTAAGAATTCTGGCTTGGATGAAGGTGTTATCCCGAATCCCGAACCTCAGTCCCAACCTCAAGTTGTGCTGGATCCTGCAGTTGATGCAGGAGGGAGTAAGAATTATGGCTTGGATGAAGGTGTTATCCTGAATCCTGAACCTCAGTCCCAACCTCAAGTTGTGCTGGATTCGGCAGTTGATGGAGGGAGTAGGAATTCTGGCTTATATGAAGCTGTAGTCTCGAAATCTGAATCTAGAACAGCCAAGTCTGGAAATCAAGTTGGGTTAGATCATGCAGTTGATGTTCGTGTAAGCGAAAACTTCAAGAAGGATGACACTGTTGTCATGAATCCTGAACCTCAAAATGTGACATCTGAAAGTAAACTAGGTTTAGATTCTGCAGTTGATTTACAATGGAGTAAAAGTCCCGACATGGATGAAGCCATTTTACCGAGTCCTGAACCTCAAACAATGAAGTCCAAGAGTCAAGATGAGGTTCCAGTGAGAAAAAATTCCAACAGAGATGAAGCTGTGTTTTCAAAATCTGAAGAACCTGAACCCAGTCAAACTACCAGGGACGAAGTAGATATAGAGAAACTTGGTGAAGGAAACACAATAAGAGAGTCTAACATAGAGGTTGTTTCAGCAGTTTCTCTTGCTGACAATCTGAAGGATGATATTCCATGTGACACGTCATCTGGTATTTGTTCCAGTTCTAGTACTGATGATTCGGCTCTGGTACCAGTTACAGACAAGTGCTCAAGTGCAACAGAAAATATTGATAAAAATGATCCACAACAATGAATGGTATTTGATCTGTATCACATTATATATCATACCGTTTATGTTTATTTAGATTCTGACGAGGATGAGATGAAGAAATTATCTTTATTTTCAATGTTATTTGTCGGTTATGATGATGCTTAATGTTTTATTTTTGGGGGCGAGTACCATTGGGTATTATTGCACGAGCAATCCACGTATTGCTCTGTTGTTTCACATCCTCCAGGTATTGAGCCTTTGTCTGCTCAGTTTGCTTTGGCTTGTTTGTGGCCTCAATAAGATGATCTGTCCACTTTGGGACTGTCAGTTTTACATCTTTAAAGTGTAGTGTGCTCAGAAATGCTACGAGGTAAGCTAGTATCTCTTTCTCGACAGTTACCTGCAGTTTTGATTCAAGAAATTTGAGCCTGTGGCGAGGAGAAAATGGTATTCTTATTCAGTCTGTCACGATCTATATCGATGCATGATGTGTGCTTCTAGCCTGAAGTATATTTTGCCGTTTGTTTCAGTTCATTTGGTCAGTCAAAAGTTCATTATTTCTCTCTACTTATGTTGGATAAATCATGATGTTTTTAAGCCTTTATGGGCTCTAAGATGACTGACATTTATCTTCTTGCTTCCTTGAGGATGAGCCTGGGGTTGTCAGTATTACATTACAGGACACACAGCCCGGACCATGTCTGGTTCTCAAGTTAACTCTGAGTCTCGGCTAATTGAGGATTTCTGTTATTTTCTATTTTAATTTTATGGTTTGTGGCTTATGGCACCTGTTCCTCGTAAGGAATGATCGTAGATATGTTCACGAGCGTGCACGGAATGCTAAATGGATGGATCTTATAAATTTTCATGAATCTGAAAAATTGAGTGCTATCATATGTTTTTGTATTGACTTGGTTCATGACCTGTTGATAAGCGAATTTTGATAAAATGCTGTTTCACAGGCCTTTTGACTTGTTCCACCTTAGAGGCTAACAATAAACAACAAGGTATGGTGCTTTTTGAATCGCAAATTTTCCAAAAATCTTGTTAGAAGGTATTATTGGAATATCAATTTTCCGACGGTAGAGTGGATGGATTTGGAAAGTATGAAAAAAAAGGTTTGACAGAGCAAAAGTTCCTTCAAATGATGCTGTCCCGACTTTGCCTTGGAATGGGATTAATACATGATAAGTTGTCCTCCATGGTTCTTATGCAGTGCTAGATTTAAGACATTTTTCATGGTTGGTCAAAAAATAAATTTAACATTTGTTTGAAGCAACGTAACGGTTAAGACTTGAAATGAGATTCAGAGATGGCCTGATGGTTAAATATTTGTGGTCGTGCGGCATCAATGAGGTGAGCAATGATGGAATTTAGATTTTGATGAATTGACAAACCCTAGATATTGGTAACGATAATTTAAATTTTGGTCTTCTGGGTTGGGGGGAGGGGGGACGAAGGGGTAAATGGACCCCCGAATGACACAAGGCGGCTTCTCCATTGTTCTTGTCAATACTTATAAAGAATTGTCAACCCTATAAACTTGTGCATATAAATTTCATGTGCGGGTGGCATGTAACAGGTCAGACGGCATTAAAATATCCTTATTTTTTTTCATTGTTTACTTTCGTCAAATATAATTGTTATCTATTAAATACACCTTACATTGATGGATTTAGGATGAGGATCATATTCTCTATTCATTCTCCAATTGGGTGAGGAGTCTCTGTCTCATTCGATGCAGGGTGAGTTCGACATTTCCAAGGTGTCGCGTCACTTCGAAAGATTTTTTATTTTATTCTTGCAGTTGATACTTTAAATTAATCATGTACAAACATACAAGTACACACCTAAAAATCAAAACGTTGCATTATCTGATCTCCACTACTGCAGTAGCTTTATTCAGTTATTCCATTTGTTATGGACTTAGAGAAGCAACGAATGTGTGACGGAGAGAGAACGAGCTTCTTCATTTTTTCTTAGCGAATTTCAAAGAATTTAGAATAATACTTCGTTGTTGATCTTAGTCAAGATCAACAATTAATTTTACAATAAAATTATTTGTACATCATTGCGCACATATGATGTACAAATGGATGACATGGAAGAAAAAGAAAAGGATGAATGAAAAGAAAAGAAACCTAGTTGTATAACCTCTCTTTTCCATGTCATTTATTTGTACATCATTATCATGTACACAATAATATACAAATATTATTACTCTTTTTATAATAACATATTTTATGAGATTCATAATTTTTATTAACTTTTCAACCACACATTTCATCGACTTTTATTAGAATTTCATAAAAAAATGGTTTTAAGCAAATCCAGCTAGGGGCAACGTACTACAATAATTGGCTCGACTAAGCCCACGTTAAAAATCGGATTTTAGTAAATTTTGATGAAATTGACAAAATGTATTGTTGAAAGATTGATAAAATTTGTGGGTTACATGAAATTAGCTAAACCAAACATTTAATAATTTTGACATTAGAAAAAATTCATTTTAGCCAACAAAACTGATTAGTTAGAAAAGCTACTCTATATGCAACTATATTTATGGAGATGGTGACGAAATTTGTCAAAGTTGTGTATTTTTTACTCGAATGATTTGAACATAAACATAACTTGTTTGTTAAATATGTAAATGCACATGTTATTGTATTACCTCCAATATATTTAAATAATTAAATTTTGGTGTAACTTGACAAATTTTTGGGAGTTATTTACAAAAGATTTGAAATATAAATGGATAAAAATGAGTGATCAGTGAAATAATAATAATACTCATAAATTCTACGAAATATATGAATAAAAAATGATTTTACTGATTATGAACAATTAAGTAACTGTAGCCAAACAGTATATTTCACCATTTTTTTCTCCTTATTCCTAAATTAATATGCACATCAAAACAGGAAGTCGAAAACCGTATATATGCTGAGACAATTGTTATCAACTCAGTGCAGAGACTGGAGAGAGATGAACTGTGAATGGTATCCAGGAGACTAGGATCAGATTCTGTTTATCTGTACTGCATATACTCTTCAATATTCCAGTGAAGAACCAGATAATCGGGTCCCACCACCTTGCCCACATGGCATCCTCCATGGTAGTGCCAAATTGGGTTAACAGTTTACTTACAAAACTGTTCCAAGGATTCTGTATCATTGGTATCCTTAGGTACAAGATTAACATTAGCCTGAACACTCATGTTCAGCAGCTTCTCGACCATTTCGCCGTCACATTCCATGTAGTTCTTGAAATGTTTTGATCTCGATATCTTTATTATAAACTGAATCCAAGGAAACATAGATGAAATCATAGAATCGCGGATTACATCATAAACCCTAAATCACAACATCAAGGCTTAGATCTTTCAATCGAAGGCTCAGACCACACCCATTTAACCATCACAGAGGCACCGAGACTCAAAACGAACCCTCACAGCCCAAACACACCAAGGTCACTTCATTGGACTCAAGAAATCAAACTGCCTACCTTCGGTCGATCACTCACACAAAGGAGAATCACACAAGAACAAGGTTATCACAAAGATAATCAACCAGAAATCTCACAAAGAGAAGGAGGAAGGGTCACACAGACAAAGGAACTCGAAGGTTCCAAACGGCAGAGAGAAAACGAAAAACAGAAAGTGACGATCCAATTGCCAAACAGGGAGTAAGGAGGATATTTATAGTAAATATCATCAACCGTTGATCAGCGGGTCAATCCAACGGTCCAAGAGCGACTAATGGTGTGTGGACTGGATATTGGGCTCGGTTAAGTGGGCCTTCTAGGTATATATTTAATGGACCAAGTAATAAATCCAATTTGGACATTTTTATCATTGCCTAACAGTTGGACTGGATCAAATGACATCACAGCCCAACAGATCTCCACCTTGATGCCAGTGATCATACAAGAAGCCTAATAAATGTAAAACACAGTTTAAATGTCATTCTCTAGAAGACAGCTTCCCAGCATTCTCAACAAGCATCAACTTTAGCACCTGTGCAGAACAAAACACTTAACCAGCATCAATGTTCAAAATTTGTAAACAAGACTTAAATTTGTTTAAAGGAATTACCTTAGTACCTACATCAGCTGGATTATACTGAGTTGCAATTTTCTCAAGTAATATAAGTTCTTTAGAAACAACATCTCTAATAAAATGCAACTTAACATCAATATGTTTTGTTCTTTCATGAAAAACATGATTTTTACATAGGTGAATTGCACTTTGACTATCAGAATACAAGACAACAAGGTTGCTCAATTCATTAATTTCAGATAATAAGCCCTTAAGCCATAATGCTTCTTTTACTGCTTCAGTTGCAGCAACATACTCAGCTTCAGTTGTAGATAAAGCAACAATAGGTTGAAGTTGAGATTTCCAACTAATGCATGTATTACACAAAGTAAACATATAAGAAGTAGTAGATTTCCTATTGTCTCTATCTCCGGCAAAATCTGAATCTACAAAACCCTTAAGTACAACACCTTCATTACAAGCACTAAAGATCAAACCAACATGTGAAGATCCTTTCAAGTATCTCAACAGCCATTTTAGAGCACCCCAATGGTCTGGTCCTGGATTAGCCATAAATCTACTAAGTGAGCTAATGGAATGAGCTACATCAGGCCTAGTACATACCATAGTGTACATGACAGAACCTACGGCATTAGCATAAGGTACATTTTCCATTTGCCTAATGTCAGATTCATTTACAGGACATTGCTCTTTACTAAGTTTAAAATGGCTGGCCAATGGAAGTGAAACAGATTTAGAATTATGCATGGCAAACTTAGTCAACATCTTTTCAATATATGCAGTTTGCTTCAAGTACAGTATCCTACTGTGCCTTTTCCTCGTGATTTCCATACCTAAGATTCTCTTTGCATGTCCTAGGTCTTTCATTTCAAATTCAGCACTTAAAGACCGTTTTATCTGGTTAATAGCATGCATATTCTGACCAATCAGCAACATATCATCCACATAAAGAAGTATAAATGCAACAATAGCATTTTCATCATTTCTTTTAAAGTAAAGACAATGGTCATATTCACTTCTTATGAAACCAATAGTAGATACAAAATTATCAAACCTTTTGTACCATTGTCGTAGAGATTGCTTTAAACCATATAATGATTTTTTTAACAAACACTTTTTTTTTTAAATAGTGGTTTTTGCTACTTATAAGGTGAGTTGAGAAATCTTCCCAGTTCCCAGAATATGATAATCTTGTATAGGTTCCGTTTGCCACACTCAGTTTCTGATTCACAAACAAAGCAATACTATGTGTAGGGCTTTCCAGTTTTGAGCAGTAAAAGATATCTTGAATCTTTGATCACTCAGAAAGCAACAAAATTTATGGAATATTCTGAGGTTGTTCTGCTGTATTAAGGTAGAGTGTTCAGATTGTCATATATACATCTGAAACCGGAAAGAACTGGAATTAATATTCACCTGCAAATGTCTGAAATACAAACTTCAATGACAAAAAGCATAATGGTTGTGTTGTTCAATCAAGTAAAGTTATGCACTGAGCGGGTTTTCAGTTGGACCAGAAAAATTTCCCAGATCCCAAAAACCCGGTACCATAATAAAGAGAAGAAAAAGAAATATTAATTAGTTAAAAGATGCTTAAATGGAATAAGAAGAAAAAGGTGAGGATAAAGCACAGATCATTCTGAAATTTAAAAAGAATAAAGAAATGAAAGGTTGAAATTAAACTAGCTAGAATTTCCAGGATAAGATTTTAACTTCATTTTTTCTTTAACAAAATTCGAGGTTGAGTTAATCAAACATGCGAAAAGGGAAAGGTAGAGCTTTTTGAACCACTGTGAGCATACCTGCATGTTATTGTATCTACTGAAAGTCTTGAAGCAAAGAGGGCAAGAAAATTGAGTGGGGCCCATCAGAATCTGGGCAGGGGTTGGGATCCAATACTGACCCTTGTTGAGGGGACTTGTGGAATATCCATTAGCCACTGTAACATCTTCATTACTATAATTTGCTTCAGCTGAGGTGGATGAGATGAATCTTGAAATCAAATCAGCATCAGGAGTAGGAAGCCTTAAATTTAAAGCCAAAGTAACAGTTTCATCATCATCAGGATAAACAGAACCCTGATTTTCATTGTCTAATTTCTTATTGTCCAAATCCATGGCAGTGCAAGATGAGTGTTGCGATACCGCCCTTGTTGGGCTCAAACTTAGAAGTGGAAGAGCTTCTCTTATAGGTGGGGATGGGGGTGAGGATTCGTACTGTGTATAATACAAAGAATTGTTGTTGGAACTACTCGTGGAATGGATGTAACTAAAAGTATAAAGAGATTCTGGAGTGGAGGTGGAGGTGGAGGCGGCGGCGGTGGAGGTGGAGGTGGAGGAAGAGAAGTGGCTAAATGGTTTGAGATTGAACCATCCATTGAAGCAATTGGGATAAGGATCAGTCATGGTGATATGTGAGAGAAGGAGCCAAAACAAAAATACAGAGTATGATTAAAAAGTTGAAAGGTAAAGACTGATGATCAAAAACACCAAATTTAAACAACTGGGAAGCAATAAAGATTATTAGAATTGAAAGAGAGGCAAGGTAGGATATAAAGTAAACCCTACTGAATAAAAAGAAGAGACAAGATATCATTTGTGAAATGTGACTAAACAAGAGTGTCTATATATAATTATGGGGTTTTGAAAGAACAAGAAGTCCCCTTTCAACAGTAAAAATCATAAAGAATCTCAAATTCTCGTTCAATAATCCAAAAATTTGCTCTAAAGTTCAATCAAGAATGCGCCAAGACATGCTCAGGAAATTAGGGTTGGCTGCTACCAGGGGAGAGAGAGAGAGAGAGAGAAACATATAGATACAGTTACAAAACCATACATGTACGTATTTACTGGGGAGCAAATGCATTGGTGGGCGAGCACTGGTCGGGTACGAATTTGGAGATTGTCCCTACAATTCACTGTTGAAAAATTGATAGAATTGTATTACATGCACATCAAAGCTACTGTTCAACCGTCACCTTCTCTCTTTCACTCTGTAAACCTCTATTATATATAATATATGTGCGCATGCAAGTTTGGCTTGGCTCCTTTCGCATATGAAAATTAATATTAGGCCCCAGTTGATCCAGAAAATACCATAGTCTAGTACCCATCAGTACCAACTGTATGCTTTTCTTTCCCTTTTGATATGTACTGTAATAATTCATGGTAGGGACTTCTCTGCGATGATACACTCCTTCCTAAGTAGATTAACACTATACAAAAAAGGTTGAACTCCAACCTTAAGAGTCTCTCACCGTCTCTGCCCTGGAGCATCGTGAGGGAGGTAAATTGCAGGTTATGCCTCCAATGGTATAGGGTGGAAGGCTTCTTGTACACTTGCACTTACCCAAGAGCCAAATCCATATTTCAGGATTCGAACCCTTAACGCGGCAGCCTCAAGCAAAATTGGATTGCTCCACCCTCCCCTTTTACCACTTGGAGATATGCCCTGGGGGCGATTAACACTATACTATAAATTTGAGAGTGGGGATGTCCAAAATATATCTTTGGACGTGCATAGCTATCTATACGAAGTGGATTCTAATTAGAGTTGGACATAGTTTGAATCAAACTAAAATTTTCGAGTATTTAGTAAGTGAAATTGTCGGGTATAAATTTAATTATTGAGCCGACCTGTCCACAATAAGAGTTTTTTAATATTTAAAACAACACTGCATTAATCTTGCTATATGTCAATCTTAATTCTTACAAAATAACGTAGTCCAATTTAAAATTAGGGGATTTTGTAAATCATTTTGTACATGATTTTGTACTTTTAGCTTGATCCTTAAAATTATACTAATAATAAGTTGTCTAATAAGATCATTCACCAATGTATGCAAATTACCAAAAAGTAAATAATAATACTAAATATCGGTGATTCCATCTCTTTGATTCCTTTGTTTCTAGGCTTCAAATCTATATAAAAAATGAAATATAAATTAGAAGTTATAGAAAGAAAATATTTATAAGTATTGCTAGTACTTACCAACCATATTTATTGCTTGACTTCTCACACTAAGAAACTCTACAAAAAATAATTGAAACGGCACAATTAACAAACATAAATAAACAAAAAACTTGCCCAACTAATTATATTTAATATGAAAAAAAAAACATAATATATATGTATTTATTTCTTGATCGATGTCCTCATAGAACTCTGTCTCTTCATTGCAAACCCTATTTAGTCACTAAATGAAATAAGAAAATGATATTTTTGAGTTCAATTAATTAGCTGACAATTTATTTACAAATTTAAAATAATATGGCTTATTTAATATAAAATTTTAAAAAAATTAGGACAATTCGATTATTCGATTTTTGGTCTAGAATTGAGAACAGAATAAAATCCATCGGTTCTCGGATACCTGTTCGGATATTTAATTTAAGAAGAACCACACAGAACCGCTTAGTTTGTGAGTTTTGTCCAATTCTAATTCCAATTGATTTCGATATGCATAGCTATATCCAAATTTCAAAGCTATGCACGTCGATCAGAGCCGAACT